GTGCCTTAAGGTAGGAGTGGGGATAGGGAGTCCGTGTCCCAACACAGGCCTTTGTTGAACTCCGGTTTTTTTTCTAGCGCCCCCCCCCCCCCAGCCTGGTGTTCTGCCAGAGTCCTTTTCCATACAGCACCCAAACCTCATGGTTCCTTGAACTGATTGCTGCTCCACTTGAGTCTACAAGGCCCTGCCTTATGAGGCTGCCTTTCCACCATTGATTGGCCTGTCCAAAGTATCTTCCAAATAGACACATTTGTTCCCTAAAGGAGGGTGTGCATTCACTGTAAACTTTAAGAACTATTCAGATTGCGGAATACCCTGCCAAGGATGTCCCTGGAACCCACGAATATGTTCCATTACAAAGCAAAAGGGAATTAAGTTTGCTAATCTGATGAATTTGAAACACGAAGATTATCCAAGATTACCTGGCTGTCTACAAATCCTTAAGTGGAAGAAGGCAGATGGGCTGGTGTGGAAGAGATGAAAGATTTGGGCAGTTACTTGGGAAGGGAAATGCCACAAGCCAGGGAACCGAGGTCTCCAGAAGCTGAGCAGCAATACTTTCTACCAGAGCAACCCAAAATGAACACAACCCTGCTGACACCTTGACTTAGTCTGGAGGGATTAGTGAGACTTATGACTCAAAGACCTCATGAAGCCACTGTGCTTGTGATCTGTTAAATGAGCCAGGAACAGACAGGCCTGATGTAGATCTTCCCTCATTTTTGCCTCATTTCCTAAAACTGCTGTGCTCTTCATCACCTGTCCTTCCCAGAGGACCTCACACCCATGGAGGCTGGATTTTGGAGACTGGCCTGTTGATTCGGTAATGGGTGGGGGAAACTGCTAACAGCAGTGCAGTCCAAGCCTCCGGTGTCATGTGTACCTACTGTGTGGTCAACGCAGATTAATGTAGGAGCAGCAGGGATTCGCTAGGCAGCCTCGAAGTAGAAGAAATGACTTACAGAGCATCATTTATGAATTTCCAGTTATTTCCATTTAATATAATAGTATATAAAAGAATTTCAGTGCAGGTAAGTTTTGTAAAATAAAGGCCACCTGGAAGCCTGAACAGTACCAGGGGAAGAGGTACTCTTCAGCATCCAATTTTTAGTTTTTGTTGCATTTTTTTTTGAGATGGGCTCATATATCCCAGACTGGCCTCAAACATATAATTGAGGATGACCTTGAGCTCTTGATCCTCCTGCTTCCACCTTCTAAGTCATGAGTATATGACTTGTACCAATACTTATGTGGTACTGAGGATCAAACCCAAGGCCTCATGCAGGATAGGCAAGCACTGTACCACTGAGTCACATCCTCATCGGCTGCTGGCTTTTATGAAGGTGATTTCCTCAACAGAAGTCCTTGGGGTAGAGTTTGTTATCACACTGGCCCCAAGTCAGCAGCCCTAGTCCTTCACTATTTAGTGAGAACACATGTATAAACTAACTTTTTTTACTTTTTTGAGGTTAGCTACGTATTGAGTAATCAGTTGTGTTTTGGAGTAAAGATAAAATGTAATCCAGTCTTAAAGCATAGATAGTTTGGGCTTTTTGAAGATGTGTTGCCCAGACTAGCCTCAGAACAATCTTCCTGCCTCGGTCTCCCAAGTAGCTAGGGGGACTAGTGTGCCATCAGGGCTAGCTGGCCTAGAGCACAGCTGATAACACAACTTGGATGCATTTTCATGGTCAGTAAGTTCCAGGTTGTGAATCAGCAGTCAGTGCCGATGTTACTTACCAATGAAAGTGCAGCTGGAAGCCATCCAGCAGCAAGTCAAGACCCAGCAATAGGAAGTGGAAGAAAAGCCACGCTGCTGAGAAGCGCAGCCAGTGTTAACAGTGTGATGAGTTTGCACGTGCTCTTCTGGAAGAAGAGCAGTCAGGAGCACAACTGGTCCTTCAGCTCGTTTGTTCAGTTCCAGGAAGGGCACTGCAGGGTCTCTATAGCCTGGGCTAGCTGGAAACTCAGGGCAGTTCACAAGCCCATTCTCTCAAAGTGCTGGGATCACCAGTGGGCATCCCCATGCAGGCTAGTTCCAGGACATTCACTGAAGCTACAGTGAGTCACAAATTTGACCTCACTTTCTCCTTTGGGCAACCACTGTATTCTAAGTCCAGATGTCTTGCTCTTCGTTGGGAAAGGAGTTAGCAGGGTGATCTGCCTTTTGTTAGTCCCTGAAGGTGGGAATTCCAGAAGAGTTCCTTGCTGCCCCCTTGCTAAACACCCTCTTGCTGGCTGAGAACCTGAAGGCTACTTGTACAAACAGTAAGATGCTGCTATTTGACCATGATTTGATTTTAATGCTCTGTCAATTCCCCCCTCGCTGTTAGAATAGCCAGGTTGGATGTCAAAGCTTAAACCAATCTGTACAAAAGTGAAAATAACAAAAACTCTTTAAGTTCTGGGAGTTCGCACAGTGGCAAAGTAGGTCTTCATGGGCATGGTACCCGAGTCCCTGGGCCCCTGGAGGACAAAGAGTCAGGTTCTGGTCTTCATGGGCATGGTACCTGAGTCCCTGGGCCCCTGGAGGACAGTTAGGTCCTGGTTTGCAAAGGGAGTCTCAGGGCCAGCTCTGTCAGATGATTCATGTTGGGTTGTTTGCTTTGCTTTTTGATGTACTCCAGAGTTTTCACCTAGAAGAAAAAGAGATCTTGTATCTGGCTCACATGGCCCTGTCCTGGGAACTGGTGCCTCCACTGAATTGGCCCTGATACGAATTGGCCCTGCATAGCTGAGAAAGGATGTCTTCTGAAGGATGACAGAAGAGGAAAAAAGTTAAGATTGTAATTTGTCCTTAAAACCACTCAGGAATCTGAGGGCACAGCTCAGCCATCAGAGTGCATGCATGCAAAAGTCCTAGGTTTGGTTCCCAGCACCACATAAACTGTGCTGCATTCTTATAATAGCACCCAGGAGGTCGAGGCAGGAAGTTCAGAAGTTCAAGGTCCTCCTTAGCTAGACAGCAAACTTGAGGACAGCTTGGGCTACATGAGACCCTGTCTCAAAAAGATCAGATTTGGGTGTGACCAGAAGTGGGTGACATTTTCATGCGTGTGGGGTTTTTACTGAGAGGGAGTGATCTGTAGTACTTTCTAGCACTAGGAAGCCATGCTGAAGAATTCGTGAGCCTGGTGCCTGTCTCCCGATGATGGCAGCTGGAGGTGCAGCTGACACTGTGTCAGAGCCAGCATGGCTCTGGCTGGTGAGGGCCCTGTGCTCACCATGGTCCTGGTGTCTCCACAGCCATGCCTCTGTGCCAGGTGCCACAGGTTGACAGAAAGCTGATTCAGCTTGTTGTTGCGAAGGTCCCCGTGAGCCAGGATGCTGTTGAAGAAGGAGAGTCCCAGCAAGCTCTGGCGTTTCAGGGCCTGGAAGAGAGAAGGAAGGTTATGACCCTGCCTTGGCACACAGAGTGACTTCAGGAGATGTCATGGGCAGGGTAGGCATGGGTCCAAATGCCAACTGTGCCATGCATTTCTGTTTAACCTCCAGAGCCACACTGCAACACATGGAGTAAGGGAGGATTAGACCGACCAGGAGCTCTGAGCTCTGCCTCATACCTGGCAGTCACTGTGATTATAAGAAACCCAGCAGTCACCAAATCAAGGAATGAAACCTAACAGCAGTGGGAAAGCCTTGCTTTCATGCAGGTACAAGTCAAAGCCAGAAGGCTTCCACTTGGCTCAGCTATGGCCTCAGACTTCGCAAAGCTCTGGCACTACTGCCGATCCTTACAGAGCTCCCAAAGCTTGGGGCCCATGCCTGGCTTTTATGAGAACCACCTGACTGAAGGGTGTGGCAGTGTATGTCTAATCTCGGCTAGCCGGAGGTAGTCACAGGAAGATCAGAAGTTCAAAGTCATCTTTGACTCCACAGAAAGGTCAAGACTAGCCTGGGCTACATGAGTCCCTGTCTCTAAAAATTCAAAAATGAAAAAGAACCACCTTACACCATGACATTGACCTTGCTCTGTTGGCTGGTCTGTGAGGTACCTCACCAGGAAAACATCTAACCACATATGACCAGCTTTGAATGGCAGAGGCAGGAGAAAATGAAAACTCCAGTCCAGAAAGCAGCAACAGCTGTGGCGAAAGGATACAATTTCTCCAGAGTAAACACCAAAGAGAAGGCCACATCAGCAGGTGAGCACCTGCTGTTTCAGGAAGCCCATGGGACCAGGAGGGGTCACCCAAAGCTGGGCATTGCCAAGCCAAGGCCCCTGGGGCCCCAGGGCCCTTGCCGGGTAGGCCTGGCAGCCCCACCAAACTATGCTGCCAGGAGCCATATGCACCCAGAATACTCCCAGCAGCTAAGAGGTATGGAGTCCTCAGATCATGACAGTGTCTCTGGCTCCATGCTTCATATAACTCCCCTGAGGAAAACTTTGCACCTTGTGGCAGGCATGTTTATAACTCAGGGTAGACAGTGTTCTAGAACTGTTTTCAATATACTAAAGCAGGTGCTGCTGAAAAGGAACATAGGAGGTAGAATTTAGGAGGAATCTGGGTAGGCCCAATCTAATGATGGAGCCCTTCAACACACAAAAGAGTCTCAGGCCAAAGGCAAAGCTGAGGACACAGCAATCAAGTGCTGACCTCACAACTTGAGCACCTCAGCACCCACAGAAAAAGATGTGTGTGGTGGCACATATATGTAATCCCATTGCAGGGCGAGTGGAGACAGGACCCTGAGCTCGTTTGGCTGGCCAGCCTCGCAGCATTGGTGAGCCCCAGGCCAGTGACGAGACCCTGCCTTTAAAAATACGGTAGACAGCTCCTGAAGAGTAACTCCCAGGGTTGATCTCTGGCTTCCACATGCATGCACCCACATGAGCAAGTGCCCACATGTACACACACATACAGAGGGAAAAAGAAAAGGAAGGCTAGGAAGAAAAGGTGGTCAGATCCAAAGCATAAGAACTTGACTTTCAAAATGGAGGAAGGGGCCAGGAGCCAAGGAAGGTAGGCAGCTCCCAGAAGTTGCCTCACTTGGTCAACAATGACGTCAGTCCTTCAACTCTACAGATATGGGTTCTTCTCAATGCCTCCCAGTAAAGTCCAGCCAGTCAACATCTTGACTTGGGCCTCATGAAACAGACACCACCAGCCCAGCCAGTACTGACTTCTGACCTGCCACACTACAGAACACAAATGGGTGTCTCTGAAGCTGAGCTGAGGCCCCTGGCTAATATGGCATTAGAGAGCGAATACACCCACTTTACAGACAAGGTACCGGAGCACAGGACCCAGCAGCAGGTTCAGAAGAAGTTGTGGGCCAGGATGCCCAACTCCAGAGCCCACATTCATGCCCATAGCTCGTTCCTGATGCTGGGCAGTGCTGTGCTCTGGAAGTAGCTGAAGCACCGTGAAGAGTGTGGCGGGGTGACTCTTGCTGCAGCCCAGGCTGGCAGGCACATGGAAAGCGGCAACACCACGGCAAGAAGAGCTGCTGCCACCTTCCCACATGACTCACTAGCTGGGGATCTGTGGTGTGCTCTGGTCTCAGGTGTGAGATGAGTCCAGTCTGCTTCCCTTTGACACCTGATGTCTGGGGCAATAGGACACCTGCTTTCTGCTTCATTAGAGAATTAAACTCGGGAAAATTCCACTTCAAATCTCAGCGACTCCTCTGAGAGAGGCCTTTTAAAAGCAGCCTCTAATTGGCTCTTTCTCCCTCACTGAACTCCCCAATAAGCATTTTACCCTAAAACACTCAATTTGGGTTTTCGGTGCCACAGCTCGTTAAAAATGACATCACTTGGGACGTGTCAGGGATGTGAAGGCATGCCGGCAGACAGGCAAAGACAGGAGAGAGAATGTATTCACAGGAAGCCAAATGGCCTCACACCTCCACCGCTCTCCACAGAGGTTTAAATAGAAAAAAGCCTTCCCTTCTTTTCCTCTGAGAACTGACACTTCCAGGAAGCTCTAAGGGCCTGGTATGGTTCCCAGCTCCCCACACCCAAACAATTTCTCTCAGCTCGTGACTAAAGCAGACCTGGCTCCTTCAGGTGGTCATACAGGACAACTCTGAAATGAGGGCTGTCCCCAACACAAGCAGATGTGACATCCGGAAACAGGATTGAGCAGGATGCTAACCCTCCACCTGCCACTCCTGTGCTGCAGGGGCCGGGCTTGGATTACGAGCTGCAGGACTGAAATGGGGGATTGTGACAGTGACGGACGTCAGGCTGTCACGTTCTGTGTCAGCTTGGTCCACCCATATTTTCCCCTCCTTCTTTCTCTTTAACCTCCCTCTTCTCCCCCCTCCCTTTCTCTCTTAGCCAGTTTCATGTGATTTAGGCTGTCCTCAAACTCCCTATGTAACCGAGGATGACCTTGACCTCTTGATCTTCCTGCCTCTACCTCCCAAGTGCTAGGATCACAGATGTGCAGACCACACTTAGTTTTATGCTGTGCTGGTGACTGAACCCAGGCCTTGTGCATGGTAGGCTGGTACACTTTCCAACTGGACTACATTTCCAGGCCACTGTTTGTTTTTGAGACAAGGTCTTGATACATAGCTTAGGCCTTGAACTGGTGGCCTTAAACCTCCTGAGTGCTGGAATTATAGTATATGCTACATGCCTTTTTGTTTTTGATATATAATAAAAAACAACAAAAACCTTCAGAAGTTAGAGACTAGTGGGTACCAGAGGCTGGAATAAGCTGAGATTTAGATGATTGGGAAGCACAGCCCAGGCAGAGAAAATAGCCAGGGACAAGGGTTTGAAGCTCTGGAAACCCATGACTCAGTAGGATTTGTTTCCCTTCCACAAGGGACCAGTGTCCCACCACCCTGCACTACTGCATCCGGAGCGTGTGGCAGGCGAGGCGGCCAGGCACCTACCTCATCCTTGGCCAGCGTCTTCAGGTGTTCCAGGATCTGAGCCATCACCGCCTCACACAGCTTGCTGTTCTCAGCCAGGAACTTGGAGTCTCCCCCATACAGGCTGTCATTGGAGTCCACTGAACAAACAAGAGCAGCATATCACATGGGACTGGCGGATGGCAGGAAGTCATGGCAGAGTGCATGGGAATGGCCAGGATGACCCACTGGCTTTGGGCTCACTAAGAAAACACTACCTGGGGACAGTCTGGGCCAGAGGCCAGCAGTATGGAACTCAACCCCAGCAGCCATGCCTGGAGAAAGGGACAGTAATAGTCACAGTGACCCCCAGAGCGGCTGCCAGATGCTGTGCCAAGTGTTCCCCTGCTATTGAAGAGTCCATATAACCAGCCGGGGAAAGAGGTGATAGGAGCATCTCCTTTAATGAGTAGGGAAACTGAGGCTCAGAAGTGGGCCCAGCCAGGATCCTAAACTGGATAGTCTGATTCGAAAGTCCAAGCTCTTATACACTACACCCTGCCTGCCTGCCCTGGGGCCCTCAAAATAGCTGTCATGTTCTGCAGTTCAGCTACTCTGGAAGCTTCCATGCTTGACAATGTCTTCTCCACCCCTGCTGCCTGAGCCAGGGTTTCACTATAGCTCAGGCTGACCCGGAAATCACTCTGTAACTCAGGCTGGCCTCAAACTCATGGCAATTCTCCTGCCTCCGTCTCCCAAATACTGTAACTTCAGGTGTGAGCCACTATCCCCAATTCTTTAAGAAAGTTTCTTATCAGAAAGTCCTCCAGTGTCTGCTTGGCCACTCCTGTGGCAACCACTACCTAGAGAAAGACTAGCCTAGCCAAAGATGGCCTGAGTACTGGCCCCTGCTCCCTCCCTCCTTCCCTCCCTCCTACCCACCCCGCCTTCATGCCACCCACCTTCAGAGGGCAGGGTCTCTGCTGGGTAAGGGCAACAACACACAGTCTGCACTTTGGATTTTTCACTTAGTGATAAACCTTGGCATAATCTGCATATCAGACCAGCTCTGTTGCTCTCTGATGGCTGACAGTATCCCGAGTGATAGCCCAGAACAGATTCACTTGGTCTCTACGGCCAACATTTGGTTGTTGGCTTTTTAATGTGTCTGCAGGGCTGGTGATGGAACCCAGGGCTCCTTGCATGCCCCGTGAGGCTCTAACACCAAGCAACACTCTCATCCACTTTGTGTATATGTAGATACATATGTGTGCATGTGCGTATGGAGACCAGAGATCAATCTTGGGCATTATTCCCCAGGAGCTGTCCATACGGCATGGTGCCACCCCCCTCCCCCTTTTTAAGACATCGTGGTGCTCACTAAACAGGTAAGGCTGGCTGGCCAGGGAGCCCCAGGGACCCACCTGCCAGCCTTCTCAGTATTGGGATTACAAGCATGCACCACCATGTCCAGCTTTATACATGGTGCTAATCTAACAGGTCCTCATGCTTGAGTGGCAACTGCTTTACTAACTACTCCATCTCTCCAGTCCCTCCTGCTTTCTTGTTGCCCAGCAACAGGCTCCACAAGTAATGAAACCACGGCATCTGCCTTTCAGACCTCATCCCTTCCCTTCCTGCGTACACAGGCCTCCACTCCCATTTTGTCCCCAAATCCTTTATTCTGCTGCTTCCATCCCCATGCCCAACACTGATGTGCCCATAGCCAGCTGCAAAGTCATCAGGCTCAACGCCTAGGTAATACTGAGCAGGGCCCAGTGTCAGGGAGAGGGAAGTGCGGAGGGACTCCCACTGCCTCTCATCTGGCTGCTCTGTATTCTGGGTCACTGTCCCGGGTGTGGGGCATCTGATAAATCAGGTGGCCATGCCCAGTCCTTAGAGGGTACAGAGTGCTAATCTGGTCTTGTGGTTTAGGGATGGTGGTAAGCTCCCAGCTTATCTACTGGGATGGAACTGTAGATACTGTCTGGTACCTTTTGTTACTGTCTCTAAGGAACACAGTTCAGAGGAGACAAGTGTTCATAAGAAACACAGACAGGTCTGTAGAAGTTATACAGGTGAGGGACAGATGATAGGAGGGCCCATGTGTAGATGGGGGAGGCAATGGTTGGTCCTGGTCTGGGCCAACAAGTTACTGGTGACTGCACAGAAACAATCCCCTGATGTAGCCTATAGAAATGGGAAGTGGTCAAGAGACACTTTCCAAGACCAAGGAAAGACAGGCCTTGAACTCTTAAGAAATAACCCTTCAAGCCAGATGTGGTGGTGTGGTGGCACATGCCTTTAATCCCAGCACTCAGGAGGCAGAGGCAGAAGATCTCAGGGAATTTGAAGCCAGGCTAGTCTACATAAACGAGATCCTGGTCAGCTAGTAACACAAACAAAAACATAAATGATTCTTCAGGAGGTGGGAAAATGGTTCAGTAAAGTGCTGGCTGTGCAAGTACCAGGACCATGTAAAAAAGACCAGGTATGCACCTGAAACTCTAGTGCAAGGGAGTAGGGCACAGAGACATTGGCTCACCAGAGCTTACTGGGCAGACAGCCTGGCCAATTGGTGTGTTTCAGGTTCAGTGAGAAACCCTGTCTCGAAAAATAAGGTGGAGAGCAACTGAGGAAGATACCTAATATCAATCTCTGTCCTCCACATGCGTATGGACATATACCTGTATGCATATGTGATTGCGTGCATGTGCGCGCACGTGCACACACACACAAAGAGTATACATAGTGGAGCCCCTCCTTACAGCAGGATCATGCAGCTACGTGCATTTCCTAATGTATAGATTTTCAGGAATTAATTTTTAATATATGTCATCATTTTATGTATTCCGTCACTTTATGTATTATATTTTATGTAATCTGATTTGACTCTTGGAGAATGGGCAAGTGTATGCATAATTAATAAGGTGATAAAACAAAAATTCAGGGATGCTTTACATTTATTTCTGGCTGCTACTTCAGGAACCATAGTCTCTTCCTAGCTTTTTGATTTTGAAAAAATGGCAATCCAAAACCCTTAGTGTGTGCAAAGTGCTGCTGGCCAGCTCTCTGCATATGAACTTAACTGTTTTTGATGAACTACTTGAAAGCAGGCTGCAGACATAATGCCTATAAATATGGAAAAATAAAACATCTTCTTGTTCCCTGGCTTCTCTGACCAAAGGTAATCTCCAGTTTGATCCTGAACCGCCCATTTAAGGAGACGTCTGGGATGATGCTCGCAGGCTATTTCTGGATAATGGCTGTGCTAACACTAGTTTGATAGTGAGTAGCCCTAGGCTAGAAGGGTCAGTACTGGGATTTCTTTTAAAAATTTCTATGTTTTTTATATTGTGTGGGTGGGTGTGGGCACACATGCCATAGTGTGGATGTGGAGGTCAGAGGACATCCTTGGGAACGGGCTCTCTCCTTCTACCTTTATATGAATTTCAGGGAGTGATCAAACTCAGGTCATCAGGCTTGCACAGCAAGTGCTTTCACCAGCTGAGCCATCCCACTGGCCTCTCTCGTTTTTAAGGCATGCAGGTGTCTGTGCAGGAGCATAGAGGCCAGAGGCCAGACTCAGAAGTCATCCTCAGGAATGCTATCCACCTCCTTTCAGACACAGTCTCTCATTGGCCAAGAGCTTACCAATTAGGCTAGTCTGGGCTGGCCAGAGAGCCCCAGGGATCCTCCTGTCTCTATCTCCCCATTGCTGGATTACAAATGTGCACCATCTCGCCCACATTTTTATGTGGGTTCTGAGGATGCAACTCAGGTCCTTAACTGACTAAACTGTCTCCCTAGCCCAGACCTGGGATGTGTGCAGTGGCTCTGGTTGCTGACTTAGAGCTGCTCTGTGCGATGTGGAGGATGACTGTTATTCTTGTTAGAAGAGAAAGGATGTGATACAGTCATGTGCCACCACCTAATTTTGCAAGGCACAAAACTGCAGCTGGTAAAGGAACTTCTCTACTTCTGAGGACCAGAATAGTTCCTCAGACTAGTATAAATTACTAGTCAAACCTCTGGGTTTGGGTTTATTCTTACTCAGATTAGCCTACCACTGGAGATGAGCAAAGAGGGCAGAGCAGGTGACTGACTGTCACACAGCATGAATGTGTGACACACACATATCACCTAGTATAGAACATGGTCCTCTAAGCTCATCAGATAAGCTGTGCCTGCTTTCAATAGACCATCACAACTGGGCCTGTGGACTGTTGTTCCTTCAGAGAAGGAAGGGGTTGGAAGGGTCACTGGACCCTCATTGGAGAGTCCAGTTTGTATGCAATTCTGTCCTAATTGCAAATGGCCTCAGGGTCTCAGAAGGTGCTAGAGCATACAGGCTGGGGAAGGTTGACTGAAGGGGATGCCATCTACATAGCTATGGGGAATCTAACATCAATGCTGGGTTAAGACTTTCCAGTGCAGCTGTTTTGGGGTCACCTAAGCTCCTGTAGGTAGCCCCTCACCTATTCTCTGTTAAGTAAGCCCAATAAACTCACTGGTTTGCCAGGGTGAGATCTGGTAGAATTGTGCTTTGGCTTGTTGTTGGAGCCATATAAAAGGGGTAGATGTTTAGGTTTCCCCAGGGAAAGAATTTTCACATCAGCAGCTACAGCATGAGGTCTGCTCTGCACAAGGCTCTGGTCTGGAAGCTGAGGATGGGTAGTGGTGGTAGAGTGGCTGGCATGCCCCACACCCAGAGACAAGCAACACAGGCCATGGAGGAGTGAGTGCTAAGTGCCTGGATGGGACAGTGCTGGGGTCATGGGATCCTAAAATGTGGGATGTATTTATTTACTTAGAATTTATTTATTTATTTATTTATGACAGGGTCTCGTGTAGTCCAGGCTGGCCTCAAACATATTATATACCAGAAGATGATCAGATGGACTTGTGGGATCAGTGAGGCTCTGGGAGCTGAATTCACCAGAGAAGGTAGAGAAAAGGAGTTGGGAGTGACACAGGGAGGCTATTAGCAAACCAGTACCACCAAGGATAAAACAGACAGTATCAGGTGGCGGAACAAGGCCCTCCTTCCTCCCAGCACCTGCACTGAGGGCTTTTGGGCCTCCACACCATCTGAAGCACAGGTCAGAGAACCGTAGGTCAAGCCCCACCTGGACTGGGGCGAGGTCAGGCCTGTGGTGACTGCTATGTTCATCTACTGTATTCAGCTACTATTCCAGGGGATTCTGTAGTATTTTCAGAAGGCTGGGCAGATGGTTCAGTGGTAGTCAGCTTGCCTAGCAAGCTGGGTTCCATCCCCAGACCACAAAAACAACAAAAACTGATCCTACAACCCTGAGGCCTCTCCTCCCTGCCCCAACCCTGGGCATGAGCTGGCGGTGGGGGGTGTCCTCCTAAGTTAGAGGGCAGAAAGTGACTCAGGAATCTGGATTTCCTGGGTAGAAATGTAGCTCAGTTAGTAGAGTGCCTGCCTAGCATGCAGGAAGCCCTAGGTTCAATTCTCAATGCCACATAAACCGGGCATGGTGGTACATGCCTGTAATCTCAGCAGATCAAGGGTGGCAGGCAGATCTCTGTCAGTTTGAGGCCAGCCTGGTCAACATAGTTCCAGGTTAGCCAGGGCTACGTGATGAGACCCTGCCACAGAAAAAAATAATGAGTTCAAGCTCATCCTCAGTTACATAATGAGTTTGAGGCCAGATTATATGAGATCCTGTCTCAGAAAAACAAATGTTGGGCCTGGAAGATGGTAAAGTGCTTGCCTCACAAGCATGAGAACCTGAGTTTGCATCCCAGCACCCATGGAAGACCTGGATATGACAGTGCATGCCTAGAACCCCAGCACTGCAGGGGTGAGGTGGGGGTGCAGAGACAGACGGATGACTCCTTGGAGCTCATTAGCCAAATTGGTGAGCTCCAGGTTCAATTAGAAATCCTATCTCAAAAAATTAGGTGGAGAGGCTAGAGCAATGGCCAAGTGGTTAAGAGTGCTTGCGCCTCTTCCAGAGGAACCAAGTTTGAGTTCCAGCACCCGTACTAGGCAGCTCATGACCACTTGTAACTCCAGCTCCAGGGGAGCGGAGGCCCTCTTCTGGCCTCCAAAGGTACATGCATGCATGTGGCATACAGACACATACCAATATACATAAATCTTAAAATAATGAAAATAAAATCTTGCAAAAAAGTAAGGTGGAGAGCAATTGAGGAACACACCCAACGTCAACCTTCCACATGCACACATGCACATACCCACGTGTGCACACTTTGGCTTCCATGAAATGGGAACATGCTGTGGCCCGTAGAGAGGCCACTGCTACCTTTGTCTATGTGGTAGAGATAGGTGTCCTGGCTCATGGCAGACAGCAGGTGTAAGACACAGGTGTAGATTCGGATTTTGTCATCACTATTATCCTCCCAGGTGTAATCCTGGATCACATTGAGAAGTTCTCGAACCAGATATAGGACACCATGTTCCGGATGATCCTGGAGAATGAAAACGGACAGATAAACCCAGATATGAAACAGAACAGTGGAAGCACCCACTGAACCAAAGCAGTCCCACCATTCAGCAGCTGTCCAGATTAAAGTGCCTGATGCCTCACAAAGGCTGGGTCGCTCATGAACCTGGGAAACAGCAGAGAAAAGGTGGCAAGGCTCAGCTCTCTCACTGCTCACTGACCAACACACCCCAGGCTGGGGCAGGAGCAACAGCTTCCCTTTGGGTCCAAAGAATGACAGGCAGTTACCTATTGGCTTAATGGATTGCTTTCAAACTTATTTTTCTGTGCATAGTGTTTTTTTTTTTTTTAAAAAAAGGCTGGGTGTGTTTGTCCAATTGCAAAAGGAAGACTGTGGGGAACCCTTTTGAGCTCACTGTCGCTGCATTGACTTTAATAAAGTCTCACTCCTCAGGACACACTGCAGCAGCAAGAGTTGAACTGGGCACCTTCTCCTGGGGGAGGGCAGACCCAGGACTACTCCAGGTCAGAACACAATGTATTTCTCACTGCTTTAAAAAGGGGGGGGGGTCATAATACAAAAAGCAGCTTCAATTCAGCTCCCCAAATGGCTCTCCTGTTGAAACTTCCCAGAGTCCCTCCTCACAAGAAAGAAATGCCCAGCTGGCCCCCAAAACTATCACCCATATCCCTACTCACTTGGTCCAGCCACACTTCTGCTCCTTGGGTCTGAGCAAGATACACTCAAGCAGGTCAAGTGAGGAAAGCTTAAAGGGGGACTATTTAGACAGCTGGGACCAACATGAAGTCAGGCAACGGGGGCACTGTTAACTATCATAGGCTGAAAGAACAAGGTGCAGGCAGGGCACTGCTGGAACCTAGAAGACCTAGAGCTACAAGGCCCCCAAGGATGAGATGCAGACTTGAATAGAGGGGCAAGACCACTGGCAAATTCTGGCCAGAAAGCATGTGGTAACAGGCACTGGGCATCACTCTCATGCACTCCAGGCTGCGGGGTTGTGTCTCCTGTTGGCTGAATGGGTTGGAAGCCGGAAAAAGACAGTCATCCAGAGGACCCTCATGCTGGAGCCCCTTTCCTTCTTCCCCACACTCCAATATTCCTGTCTTCATTTCTTCTGGTGTTGGGGACTGAACCCAGAGCCTTGTGCACGATAGGCACATGCTCTACCACAGAAGGACATTCCCAAGTCAAGATGGTCTCATTACACTGCGCAAGCTGGCCTTATTCTGTGATCCTCCTGCCCCAGCCTTCCAAGAACCTGTATTTAGAAGTCTGCCTTCAGGCCCAGCTTTCTGTCTTATTTTTGTCCAAACATATCTTACCACCTGAAGCCATCTTATTTATTGCTTTGGTGAACTGTCCAGTCACATTTTGTGGCCTACATGTCTCCTGAAAAAAGGAAGCTACTATATCTACTGCACCTGTATTTGCTGCACACTGCCCAGTCTGCCCACTTGCAGGCCAGATCCTGTGTGTGTGTGTGTGTGTGTGTGTGTGTGTGTGTGTGTGTGTCATGTGTGTGTGCATGCATGTGCTCATTCATGTCTATGCTTGAATAGGTAGATGCATGTCCATGTGCACATGCACGTGGAGGCCAGATGTTGAAACTGGGTGTCTTCACTTGCTCTCCATCTTATTTTCTGAGACAGGGTCTCTCTCTGAACCTGGAGCTCACCAACTGGGCTAGAATGACAGGCCAGCAAGCCCCAGAGACCCTCCTATCTCCAGTTCCCCAGTAGTGGGAGTACAGGTGTGTACCTTCACACTGGGCAATTCATGTAAGTGCTGGGGATCAGGACTTAGGTCCTCATGCTTGTGTGGCAAGCAGTTTACTCACTGAACCACGTCCCCAGCCCTAGGTATAACCCAGGCTGGCCTGGAACTTGTGATCCTCCTGCTTCTGCCTCTTCAGCATTTGCCACCACAACTGGCAGGACTCTGTGAATGGTACCTCTAGGAATACACATTGTTGTGCCCAACCATTTACCCCATCTTTGGTATTGTGCTGGGCACAAGGCAGACACCTGGTCAACCATGTTGAGTCAAATCACTGTCACTGACTACTTCCCATTTGCCAGATGCTAAGGCAGTTACAAAAAATGACATGAGAACAGCTGTACTAGCTCTTCAAGACACCATTATGAGCCCCATTCTACAGATATGAAGTGAGCCACAGAGTGGGTAGGTGGCCTCATACTGCCGGTGTACACAGGAGACCCAGGATTTGGGCCCCGCAGACATCCTCATCACAAATACTCTACTGACCCCCTCTCTTTGGATATGAACTGGACATGTCTGTGTACACAGGAGGAAGACATGTGCATTGAGTGGCTATTCTGAATGCAGGCATGGTGTGTCAAGTCCTGCAGCTGAGGAGGAGTGGTCTAGCAGATAGCAGTCTCCTCCAGGATGAATGTATGCTTGCACGCAGTGACAGTGTGAGACTGAGGATTAGGGCAGAGGGGCCCAAGATGTACACAGACCATTCACATCTATGGGGCTATTCCTACTGCACCAGTGAGAAAGAGAATGTGTGATGCTCAGACATCTGAACAACATGAGCTGCGTGCATTCGAACCACCCAAGCTGTGGTCGCTGCCAGCCAGTCAATCCCAGCAGTGCACCACTGCTTCCTCTGCTTGCAGCTGTTTCTAACTAGGCTATTTTGTACTACTATGTGAATTCGAAAATATATTTTTTATTTAAGGATCTGCCTTGGGAATAGATAACACTCCAAATGTTCCAGCAACTTCATTTTACCACAAGGTCAATGAACACACTTTCAGAGAGGTGGGACCAGGGACAATTCAGGGAAATGTTTGGCGTGAGCATGTCTGCAGGCTTTTGCTCAGAATCAAGGAGGTAATAAATTATTTCCACGGTGCTGTCTGTACAAGCATCCCATGAGCTATGTGTGCTGTGACTGAGACACTTTTTAAACTGTTTTTAGATGGTTCAATAGCTAAAGCCAGGCAGAGGTAGATTTTTTTTTTTTTTTTTTTTTTTTTTTGGAGACAGGGTCTCATGTATCCTAGGCTGACCTTGACCTGGCTAGACAGCTGAGAATGACTCTGAACTTCTGATCCACCTGCTTCTACTTCTGGAGTGCTGAGATTACATGCCTGCGCTACCACATCAGGTTTTCTTGGTGCTGGGGCTAGAACCCAGGGCTTTGTGCCTGACAAACAAGGACTGTACAAACCAGGACACCCCCAGCCTAGTATCCTTTTAAAACAAGTCCCACAATACATTAGTTTGAATGTGTTTAATATTAAACTAGTAATTTTGCTGTTTTGTTTTTGTGTGTGGTGTATGTGTTCATGTGTATACACAAGTATGTGTGAATGCGAGTGCATGTGGAAGCCAGAGGTCAGCATCAAATGACTCTCCACTTCATTTTTTTGAAACAACATCTGTCCCTGGACCTGGGTGAGCTCACCAGTTGGCTAGACTGGCTAGGCAGCAGGTTCTGGGAACCACCTCTCTCCCTCCTCCACCTTATTTGGTGTGTTCGTCACTTTTCTGTTGCTGTGATAGAAACAATGACCAAAACAACTTATAAAAGGAAGAATTTATTTGAGCTTACGGTTCCAGGGGAATTACACTCCATTTTGGCGGGGAGACATGGCGGTAGAGGTGGCTGGAGAAGAGGAGCGGAAGCTAAGCTCCACATCTTCCAGCAGGCACAGGAAGCAGGAGGGCGACTGGAGATCCCGCAAGGCTTAAGAACTCTGTAAGCCCACCCCCAGTGATGTGCTTCCTCCAGGATAGCCACACCTTCTAAAGCCTCCCAAAACAGTGCCACCATCTGGGGACAGACTGTCCAAACACTTGGAGCCTATGGGGAACATTTTCATTCAAACCACCACATTTGGTGAGAGGGTTTCATGGTCTTGAACTCCCAATAAAGCAGAGGATGACCCTGAACTCTTGAATTCTTGTCTCCATTTCCCACATGCTGGGGTTACAGACATGCACCACCACACCTGGTTTTATGCAGTACAGGTAGAGCTATGGTTCCCAGCCCACACGTGGGTTTTTAGTTTTTTAAATTATGTATGCAGCAGTGTGTGTGTGTATGGTACATGCATGTGAGTATGAGGGTATGCATGCTTGTGCATGTGCATGCAGAGGCTAGGGTAGGACAGGTGTCTTTCTCTATTGCTTGCTGCCTAATAAGGCCTTGAGCCAGGGCCTCTCAATGAACTGGAAATTGCCTGTTTTGACTGGGCTGGCAGGCCAGAGAGCTCTCAGGCAGATCCTGGGAGCAGGATCTTCAGGCAGGATCTGCCTGTCTCTACCTCACAGTCTGGGATTATAGACATGTGCATCCATGCCCGGCTTTCTATATGGGTGCTGGGGATTTGAGCTCAGGTCTTCATGTTTGCAGAAGTGCTACTACTACTGAGCCGTCTCCCTGGCCTGTGTTTTTTTTTGTTTGTTTGTTTGTTTTTTTTAAAGAAGAAAAAGGTCTTAGATTGAAATTATGCCCCAGTGGGAAAATCCCTGGTGCCCCTAGCTAGGCTCCATCCCTCAAGAGGTACCTGAAGTGACTCAGACCTCCTTCCACTGTCCCAACAAAGGCCTGACGTGGTCCCTCCACTTGAATGCACTCTGGGGTCTCTGGAATCGCCACTCCACACCACTCCCTGGGAGAAGGAGTGCCTGAGGAGTGACTGCTGGACTTCTCTGGAAGCTGGGATCGAGGCAGCAAAGATGAGTGAGGCACACAGCTATCCTGGCTTTCCATCCTAGAAGAATCACTTACTAGCCGGTGACCTTTTGCCTCTCTGTGCTTCTGCGTCCCCTTCTGTGCAATGTTTTGAGGGGTGTACAATTAATAGAACAGTAAGGGCTAGCAACAAAGGAGTCAGAACATCAGTGGGCTGGAAGAAGAGTAGGAAAGAACCGGCCCTGGGGTGGGAGACTGGGTCAGATCCCAGTGGATGGGGGGCTTCAGAGAAGCTGTCTGTGTCTCTTCATTTCTTTGGGCAGCCTTTGCA